CCGCCAATCCCATTTCTCATGTCCCTACGTGATATGCCCTCATGAGTGGCATGCATCTTTCCATCATGCCCTCCCGCCGAAAATTCGGATTTGAGAAACGTAGTTTCTGTGGCAGTGCCGCAAAAATGACAATGTGTGTGTGTGTGTGCGTGTGTTTGAGAGAGAGAGAAAAAATAAAATAATAAAAAATAATAATAATAATAATAATAAATAAATAATGAAGTAGCTGCCTTTGTAGCACACTGAACATGTTTGGAACTTTTTCGAACGCCCGAACATGTTTGGGTGTTCGGCCGAAAATATTTTAAAAAATAAAATTTTCATTCTTAACTCGAGCTTGGTTACAAATTTAAGCATACCTCTAAGACAAAAGTTGTTTGTATTATTATTTTACAAAAAATGTATTGTTTTCAAATTTTTATGAGAAGTTTTTTTTTTTTATATATATTTTTATGTTCGCGTTCGGAGAGTTTTGGCGCTCGTTCATGTTCGGTCCCGAACATTGAGCACGATGCTACACAGGTAGCCGCTATGTGCTTCGCCATAAAGGCGCATTGAAAAGATGCACCCTACCGGTGGGCGAATATGGATAGTTTTTGTGTTGGTACTCACACGACTATCTGGTAGGGGGCATACTACAAATTTAGAATGGGTACTAATAAGGGCGTAACGAAAATATTTTAGGCCCAACCAAAGTCAGGGTTTTATGGGAAATTTGAATCGTGGTTAGAGGGGCGCAACAGGGTAATGCAGTTGTCAGATAGGTGTGGCGCAAAATAATAAAAATTACAGGGGCATTAGACAAATTTTCTCTTTTTTAAAATTTCCAGGTCCCACTAACCGAGGTGATAAGAGCACCACCAACTAGCTTCTTCCCCTGAGTATAACACGTATGCGTTGTAATTGAATACAATGAATACACTGCGTTTTATTCGTTTAATCTGCACATGCGTTATAATCGAGGGCAATGCACTAACTTTTGGGACAGCAGGGGGTCTGGTCTAGGTTGAGTAGGCACAGTTCTAGTCCGTGTCCGAGGGCATTACATAAACGAAAAATGTGGTGTTGTACCTTTTCATGTTCTGCACGAAGATTTATCCCTCTTTTGCCATTTGAAGTCTCCCTCCACTCCTCACCAAATGTGCAAAATGACGATGAATTTTCCGCTAGAACATGAAAAAATACAAATCCTTGGCGTAGTCAAGCGCATCCCTCATGGCTTCTGCTGCCCCTTGGCTTCTTTGCTACCCCCTGGCTTCCCGCTGCCCCCCGTGGCTTACCATTGCCCCCACTGCCACTTTCTTGGCCGCCATTTGTCAAACAATGGGAGACAACCAAAAAGAGCACAGGAGTCTCGCTCCACTACTCTCGACATGCATAAAAGATCAAAATCATGGCGAATATCGAGAGTAGTGGAGCGAGGTCCTAGGTGACACACATACACACACACACACACACACACACACACACACACACACACACACATAGAGAGAGAGAGAGAGAGAGAGAGAGAGAGAGAGAGAGAGAGAGA